GATTTCGTCTCACAGTACCTCTCTCTCTGTCCTGTCTGCTGCTGTCTATCTCTCTGCCTCCCCCCCTCTCTCTTTTCTTCTCGTCTCCTTCTTATTTTGACTTTCACATTATTGGGTTTATTTTTATACTGGAACACTGCTCGTTGATTAGCATTTCTGTATTTCAGTTTTAGCGCAGGTCTGAAAAGTCTGGCAAAGCCTGTGGGCAGAATTTGACATTTCTCACATCTTCGTAACTATGTGAAGTACATGAGACTGTGTAGGTTAGTCTAGTCTGGAAGTCTTGTCAAAAAATATAATATGAATATATTTTTTTGTTCTTGCACAGCGGCCATTGTTTTACATACTGTTATTCTGAACAATCGCTATAGTAGTATGCTTTTGTAGCTACTGTCTGCGCATGATAATGAAGTCTGTTTCACATCTACAATTGCAGTGAAGATATCAAGGTCTTAAAAGAGGTGGTAGAATATGGAAATACAAAATGTGTTGTATTGCTGTTACAGCTAGTAGGCTTATTATCAACTATAGTGTAGGGCTGGATGCTCAAATACAGTGTGGGGGAAGAAAACAGAAAGGAATTGACATTATCCAAATGCTGTCAAACTGAACTGACACCAAAAACCAAACAAACAATAACACGTGGGACCAAAAGACAAGCAGACGGGTAAGAAGATGACAGCTAACAAGCAAGTAACAAAACAGCAATGTGAAAGACATAAATTGGAAGAGGGCTGGGGCAGTGTGTTAATGGAATTCTGGTTCTCATGTTTTGTGAAATACAGTAACCTAATATATTTGTCGATTTTCAAAACCCAATCGGCCACTTTCATCATGCAAATGTGACAGTTGGAATATAATAATTAAAGTTTGATACTCCTTGTTCATCTTCACTCAAAATGTGTCCAATTAAAGTAGTGTAAATGAAGTGTTACAGTTTTATGATAGTCAGTCGTTAAGCAGACGGACCCATCTGCTCCCCTACTCTCTATTCGCAACTTCCGCTCCTCCTTTGTTTTTGTCTCTTCCCTCCCTCCCTCCCCCCCTCCTCACTTCTGTCCTCATCCTCCAAATCGTATGTCTGGCCATGTGTGTGTGCCCTCAGCACGCCCCTAGCCCGGCATGACTTGCTTTGACCTCAAGTCTGGGAGGACGATGACAAGGGAGGCGGGTCGCCCACCCCGTGATTCACTAGTGCACTATTGGCTGGGCGAGGCAGATTGGTAGCCAGTGTCCCTCCTCACTACTGGATGAATATTTTTGGCCCCTTTGCACTGTTTGGTCGACACTTTGCTTGCTTGTGTTTGTGTGCTGGGAGAGGACGTTATACAAAGGGCTGCCTTACAAGACAATGTGACTGTGCTCTTGACAATACAGTCTCACACATCTTTTAAAAGTAACAAAGACACACAACCCCTGAAATCATTTTTTAACTGAATTTGTTTAGGTACAGTCCATTTATAAATGTGGCTTTGTGTTCGAGATGGGTGCAGTATGTTTGATATTATCCAGTCTGTAAAAGCAGTGCCGATTTGCTCTGTGCTTTCAATAGTTGAATGTATTCAGCAATATTGAATAATTCTTAGCAGGCAGCACTGCAGTTAGTCTAACACTGCATCACTGTGTCTGTCTGCAGGACCAGTCTCTGTCAAAATGAGAAACATCTCTCATGCTTTAGCTCATATTGTTTTGCATGACATCCTTATTAACAATCACACAATGAGAGCGTGTGCTACAACCTGTCACAACTGTCCCAGTACATTTACCTGCACCAGTCTGGAAGTAGCTAATCACAAATTGAGTGGCTGTTTGTTGTCATGGTGCTACAGGTAATTTCATTCTGAAATCCAAGTTCTCCCTCTCTCTTTCTCTGTCTTTCTCTCTTTCTCTTTCTCTCTCTCTTTTCTCTGTCGAGTGTATTGTGAGATCAGTTCAGGTTGGTTTAGTAATGAGTTATTTGTATTCTGGTGTATGGGCAATAATACTGTGAATGTAGGATTATTAGATTAGATATATTAGATTTTGTATTGTAGCACCATAATCAGCTCTATCCTTCATGTTTTTGCTTCAGGAAATGTATGCCTCCTCTCTGTCTTTCTCTTTATTTCTCTCGCATCGTCTCACTCTCTCCACCCCAACTCTGTGCAGCCATTTAATGTTTGTGCATGCACGAATGAGTAATGTTGTTAGGCGTACTATACTAAATGTTGACTGTTTGTCTAAGGCTACCAGTTCACCGCTTAATCAAAAAATAATGTCCACTTTGTCTGGGAGGCACGCACACAGCAGTGTTTCTTTTAAAATATAGGTTACACGCAAAATAACACACTCTTCTCAATCACTTAATTGCAAAACTAAGGTCTAATACTGTACACTCCCCCCAACACCACATCCACACATCAGAAAGCATGACGTACTCCTGAGTCATGATTTCACCATTGAAGTTCCAGAAGCTGCAAAGGCTTCCAGCAGTAGCATCCACACATTTGCAGCTCAGCCCCTGCAGCCCTGCGACACTGTACAATCCAGCTAGCGTCATGCCTCTGCAATAGTCAAAGATGATTCCTGAGCTTTAGCCGGTAATTTGGAATGAAGGGAATTTACCCCAAATAGAACAGAACTCCCCCTGAGGATAGTGAGAGCAAACTGTTGTTATTGGGTCACGGTTGAGACATAACAGTGGCTCTCTTCTCTTTTCTGTAACCTTCCTGCCACTGCATAATAATAGTTTAAGGATGGCGTACACAGTTTGTCTTGTCTCAGTAATTTAATGATGTTAATGTTGTCAGTTTATCTGTTGTCTGAGGCCTGAAGTTGGAATCGCCTTCAGAGTCAAATAATTGGAATTGACTCTGCCTTTAAATTGCTTTGTGTTCCATTGAATAGCATTTCAACCAGCGTGGACCTCCCGTTGAACACGAAGTAGACCAGGCTCATTGTGAAATGTTGGACAAGCATTGATTCATATCATTGAGTCCTTGATTCCTACTAAAACACTGACAGCCTATGTTTTTTTAGTTGTAAAATTTCCTCTCACTCTCATTTTCTTGTTTTCTGACTCTTTCACCTTGCCGTGTTCCACTCAGTCTCGCTCCATTCCCCGTAGACCTTCCAAAAGATGGAGGAGTAGTACCTTTTGTCCTCCTTGTCTGCTTCTCCACTCCTTGTGCCTAATTGGCATAGAGTGCTGACATTTACACTCTTCGCCCTCAGTGACATGGCTCCCTTTCCACCGTGAAACAGCTTATTAGTTAGAAGTGATTTTTGTTCCCTGTTGGAAGCTATGCTGTTGGTTTGACCTGTGTTATCAAAATTCTAATGGCCTCCAAAATGAAGTGCTACCAGTAGTAGGCTATGTGTAAGAGCTCCTCATGATGCAGACACAGTATCAGGTAATTGTCTTTTGACATTAAGAAAATAGGCTCCAAAAAAAGGATTTCATCCAAGCAGTTTCGGCTTGGTAAAAGTTATTCCCATCCCCAGCAGTGGACAACTAAATCCACAGCTCAGGTACAAAATGGAGGATTCCTGGCTGGCGGCGCTCCTAAAAGGCCCCATCATCCCACCGCAACTGACTTGGTAGGGATGAGAGACCCAGACAATAAGCCCCGACTGACACAAAATGGAGGACATCGGCTCTTGGCTGAGTGGTGGGGGATTTCCACTGGCCATGTGTGAGATTAACTCACCTCGGAGGTTCCATGGTGTGCTGACTCCGCTAGTGAAAGTGAAGAGAGATGGGAATGCGGGAGTAAGAAAAGAAAGATAGAAAGCTATTAAACTCAAAGGTTATTACATTCCTGCCAAGGTTAAAGGAACCCTGTTGGCTGGTAGATTCTTCCAGAGCTCCTTTGCCAGGGTCGATCCAACAGGCCTTCTGTGCAGTCATAATGAGACTTACTGAAAACACTATTTTAAGTAAAAGTTGTTCAAACAATGCTTAGTGATTTTTTTGTTTTGTTTGTTTGACACCAGCAGTTTGTCTCTACAAGACCTTTCCTAAAGACCTTATTGGAGCCATAAGCACATGCACGAACATCGGAACGCATGCTCACACACCCTTTGCTCCCCTTGTGTTCCCTCCGCATCCATCTGCCCAGCTGTGCGCAACACCTGGCAGCTCGGCACAACTGGGAGAGGCATTTAAAATGAATGAAAACCATTGAAGAGAAGAGGAAATGAGGAATTAATCCAACCCTGTGTGTTCATTAGGAAGAGTGTTACTTCTGTTTGTATGACAGATAATGATGGTGTTCATAGAAGAGCGTGGGAGGGGCAGGGGTGGCGAGCACACTGGTATTGTCATTCATAGCCTTATCCCCCCTGTTAGCGCCTGTCGTTTATTTTCCCACTGCGTCATTGTCATTTGCTGTTTTTTTTGGGGTATTTTTTTTTAATATCCCGCCCCTACAAAAACGGCACCTGTCACTGTGTGTGTGTGTGTTTGTGTTTGTCTCTTCACACTGGGAGCAACACAAAACCTCAGCCTCCTTTGAAAATGCAAATAGGTTCTATTTGTGGCCTGCTCCTGTCAGGGAGTGGGTGAGTGTATTGAGGGAAGTTTTTGTGTGCAGCTGTGTGAGTATACGTGTGGCTACATCTGTGTATGCACATAGTGTCAGCTCATCTTGTTGCGCATCTGTTTAACACAAAATCCATGTCCTTGGTAACTGCGTGCTTTGATTTTTTTCTATTTATTTATGTTTTGGTGCGAGAGATGTTTGAGGAAAGGTATGTGCACGACTGCACGTGCGTGAAAGGCTGCTGTTCACAATAAAATTTTTCACGGTGAGTTCAGAGTCCAGATCTTCCCCGTGTAGGACTGAAGTAGAGGGGGAGAGCGGGAACAAACAAGCCGACTGTGTGCAAATCTGTGTTTATGTCTGAATGCGTGAGGTAGGGGTGGTGTTTTTTTTTTTTATGTGTGTGCATATTTCTCAGAGGTCTGTAAAGCCACACCGCTTTGAAAGTGCTATGTGAATAACTTTCTCCTTTCCTTTTCCATCCTCCCTCTGTCTCTACCCAGGAGAAGAACAAGGACAAAGACAAACGTTTCCGTCCGCTCTACGACATCCCCTACATGTTCGAGGCCCGTGAGTTCCTGAGGAAGAAGCTCATTGGTAAAAAGGTAAGACCCAGTTACAGACTCCCAAATACCTTTTGACTGTCTGCATATGCCAGTATGTGAATCAACTTGATTGCCTTTAAGTTAATGAATTAAACAATTGTGCTAAACACGGATTCCCCCAGTGGCTGCACATCCGCTCAAACACCCTTTTCCCCTTCACCGGTAGCCAAACACACATTTCTGAAGCCCTAAGCTAAATACGTATCTATTTCCCTCTCCCTCTCTGTTTGAATACCAAGTACTCTGGGTAGATGCCCTGGGGCTTGGTATTGGCCCGACGCACCCTTTAAACAAGCAGTGTTGATTTCCCCCTCTTGTGTCTATTGATCTACCGGGTCTGTACACCTTGGGGGCTGCTATGATTTACACACATCTGACCCAGCAGAACCCAGCACTGAGCTAGAGCACTTGAGAGACGCACACCACCGCCTGCACATCTGCCTTTTTTGTGTTAATTTTGAATTGAGGAGGAAAAAAACCTGACTTAAGTTAGGCTCAGTGTTCACTTGTTACCAGTTGTACCAAAACTTTGCCTTACAAATCAAAACAAAGTTTTCACCGCACATATTGGTTTACTTTTACACGAGGGTCTCTTCAGTAAATCAGTAAAATGACGCCTACATTGTTGTTGTACAGTGGCAATTTTGACGCCTCCAGTAGCAGTAATGGCATAGGGAGAGAAGGCGGCTGTTGCTCACAGGCACGCCCAGGGCTGTTGTCCACTGCCTCAGTTGAATGATGGCTCATGTTTTTCAAATAGCTAACTCTTAACACTTGTCAGGCGCAGTGGGGCCACATTATAATGGGAACCACGTTGAAAAAGATTGGAATCTTTCTTCCCAAAATCTACACGGAAATGCAGTTGTAAGTGCAGACTGATGGAAAACTCAAAATTGTGCATAAACGCACCATAATACTGACAAAATGACTTCCCTAGTCAGAGGTTATCTCATAAATTCACTGCTGTTTTGCAGCTGCCTTCTAAGTATTAGATTTTGGAGCTTAGACCTCCACAAATCAATTCTCAGTGTGCTTTTTTTTTTTTAAATCTCAGCCAGTGTCTCTTTAGGCTGAGAATGTACCAAACAAACGCACAGATACTGGGGTTCCAAACCACAGCACCCAGACAATAGATGGAACAAACATCCCCAGCTCACACATTTTCATAAGTGTACAGAGTTACAAAAAAACCCAAAAAACATTTGCAGCCTGGTAAACACAAAAACATGCACCCACACAAAGCCAAAAGCCAAGTTCCTTTTGGCATTCAGTGCAGGAGTGAGATTCATATCCCTGTCCCAGCCTCTCATCACAGTCATTTTATTCATCCTCATTAATGTTTTTTTAATGACAGAAAATTCAGCCGTAAGCTGGCTTTTGACGAGTGAAGCGAGAATAATGATTCTGCTGTTTATTTGCGCTGTTTGTATTTGGGGATAATGGGTGTGTGTGTGATGGGAATAGGGCGACTCTAACTTTGTCAAGATGTAAAAATACAGTGCAAAATATAGCATTAGCATGATTATAAAATATGTGTGTGTCTGTGTGTGATGGTGCGTTCGTTTTGTCTCG